ACCTCCTTGCTGCTCTATTTAAAACAATGTGATGGTAATTTGACATTATGCAAAAGTGTCAGAAATCAGTTCTAAACGAAACATTAATTTTCCTTGAAACTCACCATTATGGGCCATGAAAAATAAACAGAGATGAAAAAATCGTGATTCTTAAAATTGGTCAATGGTTTATCCAACACTGATCTTAAGATCATTTCCATGACCCATGGAAACGACTTGTTTCAAATGTGTCTACTTGGGTGTGCAGCATCTAATAATTATCACATGAGAATATTAATCAACTTCTCATCCTATGTGTTCTGTGTTTAACATAAGAAGGAACAAGGAAGGTTAAAATAATAGCCTATCTTTTAACAAATTACAATTAAAACTAGAGCTTTGAAACTGTTTTTATTATAAGAAGTGTCTGGCCACAGACAGCCAGAATTAAAATGGATTAACATTTAAAAGTTGCAGTTGAATTTATCCAGAATATTTTATAATTGTAATAAGAGAAATTTATATAGCTTTTTAAAACTATGTAAATATTCAAAAAGTGCTTTACTTTACGTCAAATGTTTTAAACTAGCACTAAGCTCTTTCCTAAAAAGAAATGTTTAGAGATATTTTTTAAAAGTAGCTGGGCTGCTACAGGATCTGATTGGTAATGACATTACCAAAAAAAAATGCATAAAGAAAATTCAAACGATGTAAAAACACATTGTTTGTAACATTAGGGAAGTTAGATGAACAATCCACTTTATATAGACACAGCAGTAACACAGATGTGTAAAATCAATATGAATATTGAGGCTGCTCATTCCAGAATATTCTAAGTCAACTCATGACTTACTCAGAAACAAAAACAGACTTATTCTTACCTGTACCATTGTAATTTTCATGGGTTAGGAACCACAAGGGGTAGTCTCAGTTGTAACTGTTAAAGGTGGTGAAACTTTAAAAAAACACATGACTGTTCTTTTTTCTGTCGAATTCTCTGCCCACCATAGACCAAACATGAAGTCAAATTGTTTTCTTTAAATACATTAAGAGCTGGGAATTCCTTTGAGGCAAAGGGTTGTTTATTAAGTTACTCAGTTATTCCAAACTTTTTTCCTGATTCATAGCCGATAAATAAGCTATACTTGCTCTTCATTTTTGTTGTTGGTTGAACACATACATTACATGCATTCCCAGTGCTGTGAAGTGAAAACATTGCAGCTACTATTTGAATGCCTGCATGGAGAGCAGTTAAACCTCTTCATAGTGTGGTTCCAACTGACCTCGTTAAGGTCTCCATTACAAAATGGATTTATAAATATATATAGCATAATTAATAATGACAAGAAAACAAGTCTAACAAAAGTTTAAACATTTTAACAAAGCTGATTCTATGAATCCAATTACGAGTTTATAATGTTTACAGTTTGAAAGTGAAAATTTACTTTTTATACTTATTAATAGCAGCACTTATCTAGGCTGGGAAGCTCGATTGAATGGGAGCCTGCAGAGAACAATTTAAGTATACAAAATATGTCAAGCAATTTTAAGTGCAAAAAGTTCAGTATTGAGCCTAAATTGAGTGGGAGCCTTTTAAAATAGTAGAAGTATAACGAAGTACATAAAGAAATATGGAATGTAAAATAAGCCCTCAAAAAAATTACAAGATGTACATACATTGAATATTGCATTACAGTGCATATTACATTAATTAAAAATTGAAATAAAAAAAAATGAGAATAAAAACATTAAAACAAAACAAACTGAATTATTATCTGCAAGGCTTGAATCCACCATATAGCAATACCTATGGAAACTAAACAAGGCTAGAAAAGACTATTCCAAATTTACCTTCGTCTGGGATGGACTGTTGTAATGTTGTACAAAATGAACTTGAGGATGACAAGGATAGGTTCTGTATTGTTAGACTTTATCTTGATGACACTGGGCCAAAACTAGGGTACACATGTTGAACTTGTGGCAAAGACTTGCAAGGACTCCAACTCATCGTTAATTAGTTTGAGAATGTGGTTTCTTGATTTGTTCTTTAATCTTTTCTAAAAAGAAAGTAAAACTCAAAGATACAATCCTAGCATCGGTCACTGTCAATATTATGGGAAGCCAACAGTCCATAGGGACACTAACTACTTCTCTATTGAAGTTGTAATTTAGATTGGTGATATCTTCAGAAACCTAATAAATGAATGAGCAATGAAATCATTAGAATTTAATTGAAACCCTAAACAGCAATGTTAGGGAAAAGACTAATTGTGGTTACAGTGAAATATAAAATGCATGATGACGAACTATATTATACCTCAAAAAGCTGGAATCCATCTTAAAGCAATACCTATGGAAATTAAACAAGGCTAGAAAAGGCTTCTCCATTGATTCCCATATAGCCTTGAGTGAAGTAGTAAATTTACCTTGGTGTGGGAAGGACCTCTGTAATGTTACGTGAAATGAATGTGGATGAGAAGATAAATTTGATATTGTTGAACTCTTTGTTGATGATACCTAGCCCAATCTGAGGTAGGCATGATGAACTTGTGGCAAAGACTAAGAAGGACTCCACCTCGACTAGGAATGTATCCTAGAGAGAACGTAAGCAAATATTCGTTGAAATTTGCTGGAAACTGTAGAAAACCCTTGATGTCATCTATAGTCAATTCACTGTCTCCTGCAACAAACAGTTCTTAGATGTTGGGGAACGTCTCCAAGCCCAATCGAGAGATACCAGCTATTGCTTCATGGACAGTAAGGTTCCTTTAGTACTCTCATCTTGTTATCGTTCTGAAAAGAAACTGATCATATACAAAGAAACAAGTAATCGAGTATGTTTCTGTATTCTTTCTAATATGTTGATTATGAGGGTTTGGTTTCTTGCCTTGAGTTGTAGAAAACCCTTGATGTCATCTATAGTCAATTCACTGGCTCCTGCAATAAACAGTTCTTAGATGTTGGAATATATCTCCAAGGCCAATTAAGAGATACCAGCTATTGCACCATGGAAAGTAAGGTTCCTTTATCGCTCTCATCTTGTAATCGTTCTGAAAAAAGAAAACTGGTCATAAATAAAGTAACAAGTATTTAAGTATGTATCTGTATGAATCCTAATTAGTTGATGGTGAGTTTGGTTTCTTGATTTGTCCATTTATCTGTTGAGAAAAGTAAGTACAACTAGAGGAAACAATCCTCACAATCCTTGCTGTCAATTTCATGGGAAGCCTATAATATGCAAGGACATTAACTACTCCAATTTTGATTAGGACTTCTATAAACAAGTCCTAATCAAAATTGGTGACATCTTCAGAAATATGACAAATGACTGAGCAATGAAATCAGTAGAAATTATTTGAAACCCTAAACAGCAACATAAGTCACTACTTGTAAGGTTACAAAGAATTGTCACAATAATATTTTAAATCAAGTTATAGAGATATCTTTACTAAACCATAGCCTTTACTTATTCTATTATTACTATTATTATATATTTTGTATGGCAATATAAAAGTTGTTTAACTGTTGATTCCAAATCATGGTTGAAGGTAAAGAATTAGAAGACCAGGTGTCAGCACATGAAACAGAAGAGTTTAAAGTTTGCACTTTATGTTGAAAAAAAGTCAAGAATTCTGGTCCACTCTTCTCCAGGTAATGTTCGCATTGATTACACAATTAACCCCGTTACACACCAAGCAGCACATTTCAATGTCTCTGAATCCTATCGGGATTAGTCACAGTCCTTGCATAGATAAATTATTGTTGAGAAAATCTTTACTTATACTTGTGAATAGATTGAGCAACCAAATAAATTTCAATTTTTATACTACATTTAGTTCCTCTTTGGTTGCGATTTAGGCAGAGCTTGTGAATTGGAAGGTCATAAACTGATGTAGCAGTCTACATCCTGGCTTTCCTTGTGAGTCCATCTTGTCTAGGATATGTCTGAATACTAGGGCCATCTTCCATGTTCTCCTTGGGGTGGATTCCATCTGCAACACCAAGTCTTGTTCTTAAAGGTTTTGCGTTTCTTGTACCATTTATTCCTTAATAGTAAATTTGGGGCAAAATGTTTCGTCCAACAACTCCAGAACTCTTGTACTCCTTTCTCAGTGCTTCTCGTGAGGTGTTTTGGGCTAACACTCTGTCCTGGCTCAGCCAAAGGAGGCTGAAAGGGGTGTTCAATTGAGAGGTCATTTGTCGTGACAGGCAGATTTTCCCGGATCTAGACAGAGCTAGGACAGAGAGGACACCCATTGATCAAATAGGTCATTTCTGCCAGATACATTCTTCCCTGTTCCTCTGTAAAGGTTTGATTCTTTGATGAAGCATCTAAGGCTTGTCCTCCTGATTTGATGAGACTTTCTATCACTCTGTTTTGATGGCTAGCTTGTGGACAAGTTTGGGAATGTCCCAGCCTTGCAAAGTTTTGTTCAAATAACTTTGTACGCCAATAAAGTTTGTACCTTGATCCAATCAACAGTTACTGTGATATCCTCTGAGCGAGGCAAATCTCTGAAAAGCCATGAGAAACGTATATGAGCTTCTGTCTGTTACAAGCTCTGGATGGACCACTCTTGCATGGAAATATGATTACTTGTGCTTCCTTCAGTGTTTGTCTGTTGATTCTTATTTGCAAAGGTCCAAACATGTCAATTGCTGTGTTGCTGAACACTGGGAGACCTGCTGCAATGTTCAGTCTCAGAATCTGACTCATCATTTGACTTAGCAACTTCCTACAGGTCAGACATTTACCAGTTACTTGTTTGGCCATATTTTGCACACCCACGATCCAGAAACGCTTGGTTGATTCATCGATGAGACTTTTGTAACTTCATTGTGCTTGCTTTTCGTAAAGGTTTTTCAAGAGTATTAATTAATGACCTTGGAAGGATAATGGGATTGTGCATCTCGTCTGGTAATGATCCGATGTTCTCTAGTCTCCCATATGCACATAAAACACCTTGTTTATCTGATGCTGGAATCAGCTTCTTGTCTACAGTATATACATTGATTGTCTGTTAACTCCATTTGAATAACCACAGTTTAGATTCTCTCAATTCTTCTATAAAATGGTGTCTCTTTTTTATTTTCAACCTTGTGTTGTTGGTGAATCGTAGAACGTAGGCCAAAGTTTTCCTTGCCTTGGCGAACGTCAAACAATAATTCAACAAATATTCCAAAATAGGGTTTCCTTTTGACTCCATTGATGTGGCTGAGCAATCTACTTGTTTTAGGGTGTTCACAGCTTTGAACTTGTTGAGCGGCTTCATTTCCTCTGACAATTCTTCACCATATCCCTTGGGATTCTCTTTAAACTTGGGTGATTCTTCTTCTAGGCATTTCAGGAATGGAGGACCTTCATACCAGGTCTTCAACTTTTCTAGCTGAGTTCCTCTCATCAGGATTATGATCAGATCTGATATATTTACACGCTTCAGAGCCCATTGTGTTTACTGGATTTCAGCTACTCTTACCAAAACAAACAGTCTTGGAGAGGTTTTACGCCGGGTTAACATGGTCTGAGAATCAATCCAGAGCTCTTTATTGCAATTGCTGATCTCAGCAAATTCTAGTGCTTCTTAACATGTACTGTATAATCTTGCAATTGAGAAGCACCCAAGCAACTCTAAGCATGGTATTGACTTTTTCTTTGAAGGGGCAACAAATGCTTTAACCATGTGCAATATGCAGGAATAACTGCCATCTGTGAGTTTCCATCTGAGGAATATGGCTGAACCATAGGCTTTCTCTCCTCTGGCAATCCAACAACTCAATGCATTTCTCGTTTTTGGCTGACAAATGCATTTCTTAGCCAAAGTCAATGTTATCTTTTGGATCTAACTTTGATAAAAGCTGAGACATTACAAAGGGTGCTTCTGAGGCATTGGTCACTGCTCAGCCGTTTGATCCATGCTGTTTATGAAACCAAGAATTCTAGCCACTTAGTGAGAAAGCAATTTCGAGTTGCACTTTACTGGCTGGAGATTTGTAATTTCGGTTAAGGGCATATTCATTAATTTCCTTTGATCTCCAACTTTGGTATTGAGAATTTTCCACGCCTGCTCAATCATTTTGCCTTACTTGATCCAACCAAAACAGTTTTTAGGTAACGCTTTCTGAAGCCTTTGCAATTGTTAATCTTTGTCTTGTTTGCACTTATTCATTCAATACTGAAATTCGTGCTCCTAAGTTGTGTAAGATTTTCTAACACCATCCCACGTGGGAACTGACAATTTCTCTAGCCTGTGTACTTTTGCAAACGCAAAACATCGGTCATTTTTGTTACTACTGATGTCATTGCTTCAAGCACTTCCTGTTTAAACAGCGGCTTTTCAGTCACAAATGATTTCTGATAAATTGCGAATTGCTCTGGGTATTTTAAAAACTTGGCTTTGGCTTCATCACCAACTACATGATTCTTTGTTTGTTATTCTTCTGACGCTGATTCAGTGAGTCTGTTGGCAATTGTGTCTTGCTGCTTTTTAACACTTCTCTATTTAGATTTAACTTGTTTCTATACATTGCTTAGGGTACCACCTTTAGACAGAGCGTGTTTTCTTTGAGTTGTGAGGAGGGTTAAGGTGGTTTTTGCATTGGCTTTGTGTAGTTTTTCAGAACATTTCAATCCACAATGAACGTGTTTCAATGTTCTCTGTTTTGTTTCCAGGAAAGATACATCTGTGACCTCAGCAGTTAGGAGACCAAAGCAATTTGCTCTCTATACCTTCCCCAACAAGTTGTCATCAAAAGAGCTGCTAATTACCAAAAATATTACCCCAATGGAACTCTGTACTGAGTACTGGAATTTCTTCATCTCATGAAAACCAAAATATGTTTGCAGATTAGCCAATGATGAGAAATTTGGATTTCAGACTTTCTCTTTGACAAGCCAGTATGCTGTGCTATATGCCTTAAACATGAGGTCATTTCTGTGGAGTTTCTTTTCCTGCACTTTTTTTTAATGTAATGTAGAGTTCACAATTTTTGTTAACAAAATATAGAGACTTGTCCCTGTATTTCAGACTCAATGGGATCTTTGTGTTGCTGGATCATCTCGTAAAATTTCACAGGGTGTGGCGTGAACATTTTGTGTTGCTTGCATAAGAAGCAAAACATTCCTTCTCCTTCTTGCAAGTGTTTAGGCTCTTCTGGAACAACCAGTTGTGCAAAAATCTGTCCTGTCCAGACCTAAGCTGAGATTTTTTGTGAGTTGATAGGTGCTAGAAATGGTCTCTAGCATACTTGTAGAAGTTGTATATGATAATGTGTGTTAAAAGGGAAAATAGTATTTCAACTTCTTTCATAGTCAGAGGTATGTCTGAAGGTGATTTCTCTAGGTTTTGCATCACCTCTTTTGTTTGTAATATTGTCATACTTCCCTCCCTTGGTTATTGAGGAAACTATCAGTTCATATGCAATCCAGCTTTGAATCATCTTCACTTGCTTTGAACTGACATAAGCTGTTCTCTGAAAGTTTCCTCAGCTCAACACGCCTTACCTCTCACCCCTCTATTTTCACTTATTTGGCTTTTGGTAATACTTCAGCCATGCTTTACCTCTCACCCCTCTATTTTCTCTTTAGTTAGTTCTTGGTGATACTTCTGGAATAGCTGCTCTGTGTGCTAAGAGACTACATTTGCCCATTTTCTGAAGTGTTTGGGAGACCATTCAGGGGTGAAGTATAGCATATGCCCCAAGTTGCTATCAACTTCAAAGAACTGTTTATCTGTAATATTAGGTTGATTAAACAAAGAAACATTGTCTGTAAAGCAACCTCGCTGCATGAACTACCATGAACTAACTTCTGTGGCCTCTGATCACTTTTCATCTCCTCTTGGTACTTGCTTTTATGTTGCACTACATCTGCACTAAGCAGATCTTGAAGTCTGTAACCCTCTTCAGTGTATTTGCAAAGAGGGATGTTTAGCGCTTGGAAAAGCTTAACAACAGCAACTGCACCAATATTGAAATGTATCACTTCCAATGTTAATTTCTTTTGAATTTCTCAGCCACACCATCCCATTCAAAGATCTGTTTTGATCCTGTTTCTTGCCATGTAAGCATTTCTGCAGTAACTCGTCCTCAATTAGTCTTAGATTCAGGCTTTAGCATGGCGATAACAATGCCTGATATTCTAGAAAATTCATTTCCATATGGTTTTCAAGCTTACATTGTTTACGTCCTTGGCTTAGCTTCCACATGGTGACACGACCATTGTGTAATAAGTAGCCTGTCTTTTGCCATTTGTCCCCAGGTTGCTGTGGAAAGATTTCTCAGTTCCAGGTGGAGGCATATTCATTACTGAGTGGAAGTTGCCTAAAATAAGACATTAAGGCTGTATTTAAAAGAAAAATGAAAACAAGTAAAATCTAAATAACTATATCTTAAGAAGTACATCAAAAGTATTAAAATACATTAAGTGATAATCTAATCTCCAATATCTACTCTAATTTAGCTATGTGTCATATAAAACACTACACCACAATGAGAAGACTGTATCTCACAACTCAACCATTTAATTAAAGTCACTTTTAATGGCATGCAATACAAGCAAACAAGATAAAATATAAGAAAATTAATAAAAATAATCAAAATATCAATGTGCAGTCGCGATAGTTAATTTTTTGTTTTAAATGAAAGTAAAGATTAGTATAGTCAAATGTTTAAAGAAAGTGAGCTCCACAGTTTAGCATCACTTTAATGAAAAGTTTTTTTGAGGTATTTGGTCATTTTACCACTTTCCCCTGATTCCCAGGCAGAGGCGACTAACGACAGGTTAAACAGACCCTTCTCCATAATGGTATCATGATGTCCTGTGTCAATGTCAAAGTTATCTTAGTATCCAGAGTAACTATCAGCTCTACTCCACCTTTTCATTGGACGTTTGATGGATATCAGTGGCATATACTGTTTGAGAGAAGTGTACCCCTTTATACTTGATCCTTGCTTCTTCCACTGCCTGCTTGCTATTGGGGTTATAACAGTGAGACAAATTGGCTGTTAACCTTGCTAGGAATGGTCTTAGTTGGTTAGTCTGTCTGAGCAGAGTCGCAAGCTGGCATCTAAGAGTTATCATTCAGATGTAAATATTACATTTTAGGCAACACCTTTGCAATTTCAGGGATGACAAATAGTGGATGCTCCTGGCAATTATAAAAAGAGTCCCCTTTTATTGAACCAAAAATGTTTCTATAGTCTTACTTGACCAGACAACGAAAGAAACAATTGTGTAAAAACCAGCCATTGCACAACCAGTGGTACGACCTTGCTCATCAATACAATCAAATGTATTATGTATCAAATGTAATCACGTTTCATGAAATTCACCAAAAAAAGCTGTTTCTGAGCTTTGTATGTGTAAACAATTAGTGCCACTGTTCAATCATGAGGAAAGTGTGAGATGAAAGTAGAAAACCATCCTTTGATGTCATTCTGAAATGGACTGAATTTCAGGGTAAAAACCAATTTGAGAGAGCTATTTTGTCGTCACTTGTTTGGTTTGGAACGACATCAATTGCTGAGAAACTTCTGATGAAAGTAGGCAAGGCTCTCAAAAGATTTGGCTGCATTTGTGGAGTTAAGAGGTCGAATTATGAGAGTTGTAGATCACGAGACTGCTCACTTTGGTGTCCTGAAATGGCCACAAATAGGCCTATTGAAACCCTGGTGTTGAAGCTGAGAGTGATGGCAGTAGCTCCCACACAATGATTGGTGTAAACTTTGGATAAACCAGCTTCTTCACTGACATTTTTTTCATTTTAGTTGACTGATATGTAATAATAATAATATAGTAATCAACTTTATTTAACAAGGGCTACACAAAGCAGTAAATATACTAAAGAACCCCTGGCCCTATAAATAGTACAAATTACAAAACTAATGACATTACATAAAAGCATTCAAGACTTACTGTGTAAGGAGTTATTAAAATACAATTATGATATAAAAGTTAAAATTTAAACTATCTGGTATATTAAAACAGGGCAAAGATAAGGTCAGTTAATAAAATGTAAAATTTAAAAATACATGACAAAAATTATTCAGTAAATGTTCTAACATGGATTTCTTGAAGCCTATAAGATTCTGTTTCTTTCTCATCTCGCTGGGGATCTTATTCCAGTGGAGGACCCCTTCCACCCTCTCAGACTCCCATTTGAATTGGGGGTAGACAAGGTTTAATTGTCCATGTTTAATCGCTCATTCAGTAACATCTGCATTTCTTATTAACATCTGATTCATATGGATGGGCAATCGCCAGCAGTCTGTTAAATACCAAAATTGACTTGTATGTTCTTGCTTCATCATAAAAAGGGACCCAACCTAATTGTTTAAAAAGTTAAACACTCTTTGCTTTCGTATCAGCACCCAGCTGTGTGTTTCTGTAGCCTGAAGACTTTTAGAATATTTTCTGCCGAGTAGGATGTCCACACGGTTGAGGCATACAGCTTTGTCTACTTGACCTTTGCCTGATAATAACGTTTCCTTTGATCAAGAAACAGCATCTTATTTTCCGCAGTACAGCCATTCTCTGTGCGAACTACTTGCATAGACTATCCTAACTTTCAATAGTGGGAGGGTGGAATAGAAATTCAAGAAGCATGGATGCCCACGATCAAAAAACCAAGACAACAGGAGAGCCGTGCGACAGCGGACTGCCAAGGGAGCAAGTCACTGAATGAAACAGCAAGGATAGAAATGCACCAATCAGAGCTGTTGAAAAACAACTAATCACAGCAGAGCATCATACTTTATAAGATCACGCAAGACCAGTCGACCTCATCACCTGAAGAAGACTAGCAGTATGCAGTCGAAATGTGATCAACATCACGTGTGACTACATGGTGAGACAAATGAAAAACTTAGCTTTTATTGTTATTCACTACAATAAATAACCACAACCATTTTTTGATATTTTTCTCGTTTCCTACTAAATTATTTAACCCATGTTCGGCACTTTTATTGTCATTTGATAGAAACTTACTCAGGTTCCAGAGTTTCCAAGAATTGTTCTTGTTTTCAGCAATTTTAGTTTTTATGTACAATTGTTTTGTATTCCTGATAAGTTTGGTCACACTGTTTTTTACTCGCTCAAAAAAATTCCAGTTGCTCTCTGCTTGGTTTTTCTGGCTTTCTTGAGAAGCTTGTCACGAGCCTTTATCCCTTTCAGGATTTTGGCATTGAACCATTTTGGTTGGACTTTAGGCTTCACTCTCTTTTGCTTCAAAGGGAGATGCTCATCAATAATACCATTGAAAATTTTATACCAGGTGTCAACTACATCATTTGGATCCTCAAATACAAAGGCGCAGTCCCAGAGGGCTTCATGCAGGGATGAAACAAGCTGGTCTTTATTAAGACTCTTGATGTCTTGATAAGTTATTGTGGTGTGTTGATCTCTTTGTTCTTTGAGCGTTTAAATTTCCTGTTAACAATAACTGGGAGGTGATCAGATATCTCAGAAGACATAATCCTCATATTATGAAGGTACTACGGGTGACTGCCCCAAATGTGATCAAGGCCCGATTTTCATAGGCTGTGTATTTCAAGCGGTCGAGCTTTGTACTATCCTGCACCTTTTGCTATGTCGTTTTTCTTTAGATACTGCAAAAAAGTAGTGCACAATGGATAACTTGTCTGGCAAAGGCTTACTATAAGAAGCAATCCTTCCTCCCTCCCTCTCTTGCCTTTAACTTTTGCCACTGCTTGTTCCTTTCTCTCTTATTTCCACACAGGTACTTATTTCAATTTCCTCTTTCATTTCTCTTGCTCTTTGGAAGATGAATTTGTGGTCCTTAGTGTTTCCAAAGAAGTGCAGGAGTTAGTCCGCCAGCCCTTATATTTTATTTTAATTCCTTTAATGCATTATATGCAAAATTCATTTCCTATTTATATCCAAAACTTTCTCATTTAGACCCTTAGTTCTATCTGGCAGCGAGTAGACCTCTACTTGGACCTAATTAACTGTCTTTTCCAGGATAGAAAATTTACCCAAATGCCCTCCAATCGTTGCAGTTGCAGTTTCAACTGTGGGGGGTTTGGATTCTTAAACAAACATATCTTGTCTGGAGTTGGAGACCTACTGATTTTGAGCACTCGTCTTTGGTTTTGAATCGATAATACTATTTTAGATTTGAATCAAACATTTTGTGTGCGATAACAAACATAATGCAAAAGCATACGAATAGAAATTACATAAGCAAAATTATACCTCTTCTGAATTTTGCACGGTCTCAAGTAAATCAGTTCACGTTGTTATGACTTATTTTTATTGTTGGCTCCTAAAGGAGCCGTTTGTGTGTTAGGAGAGACAACTTTAATTGTAAACTCGATCATTGAATTTGAATGGCTACAGCTTTCCATCTCGTCGCACGTTTGCCATAACTGGCAGGTGTCGCCGAAGTCTTCTCCAGCAGACTGTTTATAGGTCTTTTACAGAGCCCACGCATATTTCTCGTGATGCCGATTTGAATTCACGCTCATCTACAATTCATAATTCAGCGATGGCGATGAAATCTCCGAGGGTGCTGCGGGGGCAACTGGCCAGCCAAAACGCATTTGCCATGCTACAATTGTTTTCCTTAAGGATTTGTAGCACCCTCTGGTATCTTGTTTGAATTGTGGCCAGACTGTGGGTGCTGGCGCGAGTGGCGTCAGAAAGTCTTAAGCTCGGCCTTGTGCTCAGCAATAGTCCTTTTGGCATCCACCAACTTAGTTTTCAGAGTCTTGATGGCCTCTGACTTTGTTTGCACTAGATTGGCCAACTCTTCCGCATCTTTTTCTTGTTCCTCCAACTCGGCAGCAACCTCTTGATTCTGTGGTTGTTGGTTTTGGAAGGACTGGCCCACCCTCTCGTGGTCTTTTAAAAAGTGTCGCACTTTTTTTTAAGCTCTTGGTAACTTGGCTTATCTTTAAGCTGTTGATTGCTCTGGGGGGGGGGGGCCTTCCTCTTCTTTTTTTGAGGTGGCTGAGCTGGACAAGAACATCGCCAGTTATCACCAGAACAGACACCACACTTGCTGATACAATGAAAAATCGAGTGGTCGCCGCTGCAGATAGTACATTTCAAAAGTCGCTGAGACATTGTTTCTTGTTGGTGAATAAATATGTAATGATTGTATTTCTCTTCACAAAGGCATCCCCCCTGATTGGATTGATAAGAAGACCAAAATTGTCAAGAATCGCACAACGTATTATACATATATGACGTACCAATATACCAAAAATTAGGATTGCATTGCATTATAGGGCGCATCTTAACTGCACTTTTCGATGGAGAATATTAACACACTTTCGTTTAATGCACAGGGAATTTTCGTGTGCCTTTAAGTTTAAGTGGCATTTTGAAAAATTTTAAGCATTTATAGTAAGTTTTACATCGATTTTTGAGTGCAAAAATGCACTAGTAAAGTTATTTCACTATCTGTCGCTAATCTTTTGGTTACCTGTCGGTGGCCTGTCAGTTTAGTGTCGGCAATTTTCGGCAGACTGTTGGCCAACAGTTGGTAGACTGTCAGTGGAGGGGAGCTATTATTCACAATTACCGAGAACTCTGTTTGCCTCAATCTCCTCAATCGCTTACCAGTCGTTTTGTGCCCATGTATCTTTTGTACCCAGACGATTTGTACCCAGGCTCAGACATTTCGTACCCACCCCTCTGGTCGATTTGTACCCAACAAATTATGAGACAAAATGTTTAAAACAAACATAAACACTTATTTCATTTATCCTAGTAATCGCAAAAAGCCAATTTCTAATCACAGAAACATTGAAAAGTTATCTTTTAGTTAATACTCTAAAAAAATAGTGATCTTGTTGACCCATCCTAATATATTTTGCCTACTACCATGCAGCGCTTACAACAAACGTACTTTCTCTACTCAGTAAAAAAGCTAATTTCTAAATCATAGTTATGTTGAAAAGTTATCTTACTCTTAAACAATCATGAGATAGTTGCCCTAGCTGACCTATCCTAATATGTTTGCCCATTACCACAGAGCACCTATATTAATAACCGTACTTATTCTACTCAGTAATAAATAAAAATCCTAGTGGTAAGTTCAGTTCAGTTCAGTGCATCACTGGCCTGTTTATATTGGCACATCCTTTGAGCAGCTGCCTGAGTGACATCTCCTTCTTGTTGACGGCCTCCCAAAGTTTGAAGAGCCGCCTCTGCACTTCACGATAGGTGGACCTCTGCATTCGCTCAAGCTAGCACTCAGAGACCAGATGAATTTGTAGCAACACTAGTCTCGCTTCTTTGTGCAGTAGGGCCACAAACATGTAGAGGGGCAGACCCCATCAACCAGCAGCTCTTCTGTTTAGGCTATGATGCCAGCCCTCAATATCATTGATTGTTCTGATTGATTGCATAAATACGCTCTAGCACTTGGGCGGCCAAACTGTGCTGCAAATCCAGTTTTCCTCGATGTAACTGACAAATTTCTGTAGAGGTTCCATCTTGGCTTCTGGTTTTAGGCTGTCGAAGGTTGCATACTTTTTTACACGTGATACACTGATATGCCATTTTCCTTGAAAGTTTTTCTAAGCGATAAAAATGAACGAATATTGAGAAAGTTTTCTCGGAGCTTTTTAGAGCTGGACCCTTGCACCAAATAGATCGATTGTTGGGTACGAATCGCCCAGAGGGTTGGGTGTGAACTGATCGAAAGTGGGTACGAAACGTTTGAGCCTGGGTACAAATCGTCTGGATAAGAAAGATCCATGGGTACGAAATGACTGGATACCCCCTAACTATACACCCATAATCAAGTACAGGAAGTTTCGGTTTACAAATCTTGAACAAACATTCACATGGCTCTTGATATTTCAAATGTGAATAAGTCACCTGGATAAATTTCTTTGTGAACTTTGTATTAATTGTACAGCTGATAAACAGGAATGAAGAACTTTGAGAGGAATTTCTCTTTGTTCTGTCTCATCTAAAGTACCAGTGGGAGAAGTAATCAAGCAAGATATAAGGATCTCCCAACTGCGTGCACACTCATTGGTATATCACAGTGATGACAGTCGCTCCAGACTCCCCTGTGTTACCTGATACACCAATTTCTGCACTGAGACATTAAATTACAAAGTGAAAAAGTCCTCTTTGGCATGGTACTCACTTTTATCGTTTTGAAATTAATGAAACAGGGCTGGGTACTGTTCAGTGACAGCATTTATCATTATTTTTCCTGTAGAAACTTAAGACTACTCATATTGATTGCTTTTAAAGTGTGTTAGTCAAATATCAACGCCTTGAAATTATTGATGCAGAGTTGTTGCTAGTGAAAGAGAGGCAAGAGATTGTTCTCAGGCATACAAAGCTTACCCTGCCATGTGCGGTCTCCCTAGCTTTGAAATACCACATGCTCATTAAAAAATTTTATCAAGATGGAATTTAAAGTTGCTGAAATTGTGCAAACCTCATCATCACTGCTTCACTTCTTCCTGGGATACTGAAAAATTGCAGCTCCTCTTTGGGGAATCCCGATCCCTATTGCATTTCCATGAGCAGCACAAGCTTGCTAACGGATCTTTCCAATTTGGAGCTGTTACTTGTGACAGATCAGACACTACCTTGCCCACTTAGTTTTTGCTTGCAACTGCTGGAGATATTCTTTACTCCACCTTAACCAAAACTCTTGTGCTAAATGCTGTGTACATCTCCCTTTCTTGCTACAGTAAAGGTCTCCTCTCTTAATCTCGCCAGGTGGAGGCAGCGTAAGCCTTGTCTTTCCTGTGAGCAGAATACTTGGTGATAAAAGAGGGTCATTTATTGATTCCATGCTCAAATGTCTGTTGTTGATTTCGAACTCAGCTTCACACAGGAAAGTCTTCAGCGATTCTTTGTCAATATGATTAGCATGTTCTTTCATAAGACTGTTCATGATGTTTCTTATTGACCTAATTTGCCTCTCCTTGCCCACACCTAGCCAGATGCAAGCAGTGACAAAGAAACGTTTTCCCAGTGATAACTGCAATTTACGCCTTGTGAAGGTGGAAAGGTGGAGCCACTGCAAAAACCCCGCATGAAGTTCCAATAAACGATCATTAGGTACCTCTGAGAGGATTTGCTACGTATCTATGAGAAGCCCCAGGCAAATCGTCCACGTAAGGGACAGTCTTTTTCGGGAAATGATTATAGACCCAGTTTGCCAAATAACTCTTTAATTGACAGGGCAGATGAACACATACTGAAGAGGCACCTAGGAAGAAATGAAGAAATGCAAAAAACTGTCCCACCGAAAGCCAAGATATTTATATTCTTTTGGATTGATTGGGAATTCCTGGTATGCTCGTTTTGTCTTTCTTCTATATGTAACGAGCAGTTCCTTTGTTAATAATAAATTCTAGCAACCAATTGATTCCGAACATAATCTAAATAGTGATCTTTAAGAATGCTGCTACTAACAGATGCTGCATATTGGAAACACAGATCCATCACAACGTGCCATTCGGAGGAAATGCACTTGTGAACTGTTTGTAATGGTGACATGACAAGATCATGAAAAAAAACTATTTTTAATTCATGTCATGTAAGGAAAGGTTTTTTTTGTTTTTTTGACAGATTCAAAATCGTGTCAGACAGGGTAATGCATTTATCTAAGCATTTATTATCACGTGAAACATAGTGAAGTAAACAAACAACTTAAACTTACTCAAGAATATAACATCCTTTGCAATTTTGGCGACTTTCGATTTATAAACCAGTTATTACACAAATGTTTAGTTTGCTGTTAACCTCCTAGCTAATCTAGGGGTAAATTGACGTGAGTGTTTCTCAAATCTCTGGGAAAAATCCTAGTTAACTTAACGACATAACCTAACAATTTTTATTTTGTTAAAAAAAATAACTGTCAGAGCATCACTCTCAACATTTGTCTTAGTAGCTATCTTTCCTTCTGTATTGTTACTATTAATGACATTTTTTCTCTAAGTATAGTTCTGTTTCCCTCTGGCATTTATCATATTTAAGCAACTAAACTAAACTGGAGGCTGATTGGAAAACTTAACAGTTATTAAGCTTCCAGGCTCTTCATTTGCACAATTCCTCTGTATGTTGTCAGTAAATTTTTACAATTAAAAATTTAATGTACAAGAGTGAATAAAGTAAAGTAAAAGGAGAAGGATCTAAACTACATTAAAATCACGCACACGCTTCTATATCAATAATTGTGTGAAGGGATCTTTTCATGTTACTCAATGTTCCAGGTAAGAGCTAAGAGAGGTATTAAATACAATTGAAAAGCGGACGGAACTCAATGAAAAAATAATACAAACGTTTTCATTTGACTGTATTTCTTAAATCTAAATGTAAGCTTGCTCACCTCTTATCACATCGCCTATTCTTGTAAACAATTACTATTTTTCTCATCGTCATTTTCGACTCAGTTACCTCTCTTAGTTATTGCATAGAAACATTACTTATCCTTTTTCAAAATATAATATTTCAAGAAAAACTTTACAATAATCAGGAAAGAAGGACATTTGCTGTGACTTCCTGCTTCCTGATATCCTTCGCCGGGAAAGGGAACACCTTTCCTTCACATGAATCAGACATCAACGCTATTCTATAGACATAAAGCGTAAAGTCATAAATGATCTGTGGTGAATCATGATAAAGTTGATTATCTTTTTAACAGATTTTAGGGTCGGAGTTTCAGTCTAGACATGGTGGTAGATTTCCTCACTCCTACGAAATTGATAGTTGTTGTAAAATACGTTAGCTGTATGCAAGTACTTTGGCTTGTTGTCAGCAGTGATCATTTATCTTCTAAACTGCATTCCAGAGTCAAGAGCAAGAATCTATCCTTAATTATTAAAGGATTCACTGACCTTGTTCCTCTACCACTGGCATCGCTTCGGACACCAGCTCCAAGGACATTCCCGCAGATCATAGATGCGCCCTCCACCTGTTTCCATTCGAGCACCTAGACTCAGTGCTGTACAGGTGTGGCTCCCAGATGTCACTCCACTTTTCTCCCCTCCAGCAGAAGGAGAAAACACCTTTCTCTTCTAAAATCTATCGTGGTTTGGTTCTCTGAAATGAAACCGAATGTTCACTTCATATTCATATCACACCTTTTTTTTTTTTTTAATATTCTTGTAATTCAAGCATCTCACCTGGAAGTGCATCAGGCACTGCAGAGGCTGGACCTCTTCTTCCTGCAGAACAATGTGGGCAGAGGCTGCATTTATTAAGTGCTGCAGTACATCCCTCTGCTTTACCATGGTAGTGCAGCCAGGCACTATACAGCAGACCGTTCTTTCTGGGCACTCGCTCAAATGCAGCATCAAGTGGAGCCTGCAAAAGAAATAAAGTAGGTGTGGCTGCCATGGGTGACTTTCAGCAATAAATACAGACAGTTTTTAATGCGATTTAATGATATATTCTATTTCAAAAATACATACTTTATTGTACATACATACATACTTTATTGTTACCTCCCCAATGGGGCTTTTCAGGAACAATTATTTAAATTACTAAAGTTACTAATAACTACACAATTAAAATTAATTAAATTTAAGAAACATTTACAACATTATCTAAACTTTGAAGTCGAGAAAAACTAAAAATAAATGAAGTTTAGGGAATATTTACAAAATTGTCTAAAAGCTTATTCTTTAAGATACGTTTAAAAACTTGAACCGAACGGCTTGATTTTAAAAAGGGGTCTAAATTCCAAAGTCCAATAGTTCTGTAATAAAATGTTCTTTGTCCTGAGGCTTTTTTAAAAAGAGGTATATTAAGCTTTTGGCCACTCCTAGTTGTGCTTGGTAACTTGCTCGCGGGTAATGAATTGTGACGTCAGATATTTGGGGTGTGTCCGGAAATGCATTTAAAAGCCATGGTAGCTTGGCGGTAGTATAGTTGGCCCTTTACGGGTAACCAAGACAAACTTACTTTCTCGCGCCACTAACGATTCGACATGCGAAGTTCTGCACAGCCTGCAATTTCAGTATATTTTTCTCTGTGGTATTTGCCCAGACGTTCGAGCAGTAGTACAACTTACTGAAAACTAAGGCGTTTATCACAGTTAACAACGACGTTCTATCAAGACAGTGTTTGACACGGCTAATTTGCGCGAGGCGTGCGATACAGTCCGATACTGTGGTCTTAATATGATCATCAAATGTCAAGTTCGAATCCAAAATCACGCCGAGATCTTTGGCTGATTGTGCAGGGGAGATGTCCTTTCCCAACAAAGACAAACAAAACTCATGGAGCTTCGAAGTCATCTGTCGGCTCCCGAAAACAATTAATTTCATCTTGTCTGGGTTTAGTAGTAGCCGATTTCTGAAGCACCAGTTGCGCACACCAAGGAGGTCTTCGTTCATCTCCTCAACAATCCGTTGGGTGTCTTGTGAATGAAAAGAAACAAACAATTTTGTATCGTCTACATAGCATTCAGTAGAGCAATTCCGTGGAGCTTCTGGCAGATCATTAACGTATATACGAAATGATAAGGGGCCCAGGATGCTACCCTGAGGTACTCCATATTCAATTGGTATTGGATTGGAAACAGTGGAGTGAATTCGTACAACTTGATATCTATTTGTGAGATAGCTGTTAAACCATTGTAACACACCAGTATTTGGTAACAGTATTTGGTGGTCGACACTATCGAACGCTTTGCTCATATCTAGAAGAACACAGGCAGTTAATTTCTGATTATCTATTCCTTTAAGAAATGCATCAGGCGTGCGAAGTAATCATGTTTCGGTAGAGTGCCATTTTTTGCTTCCGTTTTGTTTTGTTGTCAAATAGGTGACAAACTGATTGTAAGCGACTCTCTCCCAGACTTTGACAACAAAGGTAGTAGCGAAATTGGTCTATTATTGTTAGGAAGTTCGTGATTGCCTTGTTTGGTAATAGGTGTGATTTCGGCTGTTTTCCAGATCCCTGGGAATGTTGGAGATGAAAGAAAAGCATTGATGATTGATGTAACAAAAGGGATTATAATCGGCAGGCAGTCTTTAATGACTCGAGTTAGCACTTTATCGATCCCAGGAACCTTATTAGAAGGCATTGCATTTAAAATGTCCTCGACTTGTTTACATTCAACAGAATGAAATGTAAATTGCTCAGATGCCGTAAAACTTCTTGGAGTAAAGATGCTGTTATTCAAGTTGAAGTTGTTCTCTTCAGCCAAAGATTCTATTTTGGAATTGGTTGATTTTCCAACTGACGCAAAAAATATATTGAAAAGTATCCGCCACGATCTTGTCCTCTTTGCTGTAAACTTTAGGGGAGACTGATCTTTTAGGGATGCAGAGCCGGATTGCCTTCCAAATACAATTTATGTTCCGTGGGTTGTTTTGGATCTGATCTTTGATGAATTCACTCTCCGCTGCTCTGATTGACTTCCTGACTTGGTGTTTAAGGTTTTATAGGTAGACCAGGCATGTGGATCATTAGTTCTACGGGCTGTTTTGGGCCAGACATTCCTAGATTTCATGAGTTCACGTATCTCCTCCGTTATGCAGGGATTTGGTTTTCCACGAACTTTAATTGATCTAATCGGAGCGTGACGATCGAGAATTTCATTGAATAACAGGTCAAATGCATGTAATTTGTCATCACCGTCGTCAAATACTTCCACAACAGACCAGGGTGCACCGGACATATAACAATCTCTGATACCAGTTGGTAGCGTCATTTAAAACTGTAAACAAAACAACAAGTGAAAACCTATTACAATTTAAATTAAACTAAATACACTTGGTAAAATTGCAATGAAAATAATGATGAAGCTTACAAAATACCAAAACTCACATTTGCTAGAATGTTCTAGTGCTGAATTAATGCCAAACGGCGAAGAGGCTGCATGACGTGCGACATGATGAAATATGATCAGAAGAAATATAATATGAAATATGATCGCAAGCGGCCTTACTGAGTAAAACTAACAACTTCAACGAACACAAAAGCAGTAGGAAACCTTTATTTAACTAGGGTAATCCCTTCAGAATACTTAAAAGTATATCTGTTATCAATAGGAGCCCTAGATTAAAACTAATAAAAAGTTCATAATAAATAATAAGAAACTAAGTAACTATAAGTTAATAACAGTACAGTATAACAATTAAAATTAATTCTTATTTACTAAATAATTATTTTACACAACTGAGCCATTATAATAAAAACTTTTCTTGGCGGTCTCAGTTCTTACTGCAGGTAAGTATACAAAATTGCTTCTTCTTGTTTCTCTCGAAACAACTTCCTTATTCAACTTAAAATAATTCTTTAAAAACTGTGGTACATTATTATTTAAAAACCTCTTCACTAAACCTAAAATATGAGCGTTACGGCGATCTTCTAAACTCTGAAATTTAAGATAGTCGGTGGATGTTGTACCACATTTAGATTTAACTATAATTTTCGAGGCCCACCTTTGCAAAGATTCAAGACTTTCCATATCTGCTTTATTGCAGCTGGACCAAACAACATCGCAATAATCAAAAATAGGTACGCAGTGCGTACATGGTCGGACATGTAATGTCTGAGGAAGGAGTTTTGAAGTGATCCTTCGTCATTTTAAATCAAATATGAAGAATGGATATGTAAATATAAAATCAACTACTAAAATTAATTTATTGAAAGAAAGTGAGGCTTTGAAAAAAAAGTCAAGAAAGTTTATTTTAAGTTTGATGCCTTAGAGTTTTTCAGAAGTGGTTTCATTAGCACTTATTGTGTTTTGAGTATTTTCAATCTATTTATATTTTGGTCAAGGATGTATGAAAGCATTGGGTAACGAAAAGTTTCTTAATGCCTGTGTTTCTTTAACAACACTCTTATACGAATTATACATGCATTAACACAACAATTTAAACAAAGCTAACGAAAGGCATCAGTTAATCGGATGGCTTGGAATAGTTCTTGGTTTGCTGGAGGATGTCTGAAGGCACTGAGGAATAAACAGTGTCTTGATACCTGTGTGTCTTCAAGAACATTCTTGTATGAAGTTATACATTTATGAACAGAACAATGTAAACAAAGCTAATAAAAGTCATCAGTTAATCAGATATGGTTTAGAATATTTGTTGATTTACGGAAGGATGTCTGAAAGTATTGAGCAACGAACAGTTTTTGGATACCTCTGTTTGTTCAAGAACAGTGTTATAAATTAGGAAGTTATACGTCTATCAACACAACAATGTAAACAAATGTAACAAAACGTATCAGTTAATCAGATGGTTTAGAATATTTCTTCATCTACTGAAGGATGTATTGAGCAACAAACAGTTTTTTGATACCTGTTTCTTCGACAACATTGTTAAACATGAAGTTATATTTGTATCAACAGAATAGTGTAAACAAATCTAACAAAAGGTATGAGTTAATCACTTGCTTTGGAGTATTTCTTGATCTACTGAAGGATGTCTGAAAGCATTGTGTAACAAACAGTTCCTTGATACCAGTATTAGTTCAATGACAGCCCTACAGTATATCTAATAAAATGCATTGTTAATCAGATATCTAGAATATTTCTTAATCTGCTGAAGGATGTCTGAAAGCATTGTCTAACAGTTTCTTGATACCAGTATTACTTCAGTAACAGTCTTATATATGTATGAACTTGTACATCTATCAACATAAAAATTTAAACAAATGTAACAAAATGCATTGTTAATCAAATATTTTAAATATTTCTTGATCTGCTGAAGGATGTCTGAAAGGATTTTTGATACCAGTATCACTTCAGTAACAGTCTCAGTTCTCTAAGAAAAGAGGTTTTTCTTCTATGTGATTTGTGTCTATGTCATCAGGATCATAAAGGCCTAACAACTGTTGCAATACATGATCTCGTACTGATAGGTAAAGCTTGGTGCTTTCATTCTTCACAACTATTGATGCAGAGAGCTTTGTTGGACAGCTTGATGCCCTGAGTTTATGATAACAGTGATCACAGTTAACTAACAGACCTTGAACTTGAATAATACGTTTTGCACAATGACCACATATCTTGTACTTTTCCACTGACTCAATGCTTTCAATTCTTGAAAGTAGTAGAGTTGTCTCTTGGTATGGGCTTGAGGTGTCTTCTACTTCTAAACCCTCCAGTAGTGGATTTGGTGTTTCCAAGACGACACTGTTAGTTGGGGTTGTCAACTTTCGTACCCCATTCCAAAATCGCACACTGAGGTTTGTGAATTTGTACACTTTATTTTCTTGAATCTGTGGAATGAGGTTATTCCACACATCTAAGGTAATTTGCCCTGTGTAATCAGCTATTGTTGCGTTGGCGACATTGTATTTGGCTCGCCCAACAACTTTTGTTTCACTAAGTTTGAGGACTTTGCAAAAGATTGTCAGTTTATCTTCTGGTGCTTCATCAAGCTTTTCCAAGGTTGTGGTAGTTTGGTTGTCCAGGTTTTGACAGAACTGAAATGGACATTCCAAGCTGTTTGGTGCTGTCACGTGAGTAATATCGTTGACCACAAGTTTTGTGTGATCTGCAGTTCTTGTGAAGCGAGCAATTTTAATTGGGGTTCGAGAGGCTTCTTTTTCAGCAAGGATGGCTCGCTTTGTTGTTGAATAACATAATGCATCATGCATTGAATTTTCTCTCACTTGTAATGTAAATGTGGAATAGTTTAATGTGTTCCTTTTGTTACGCTTAACTGGGGAAACATTATGAACATATCCGACAAGAGCAGTTCCCAAACTAGTGCCAGAATCTGTAATGTTACCAGTGTTAGTGGCTCTAACAGCACCAATGCCAGAGATTGTAGCAGCAACTGTAACAATACTAATGCCAGAGGTAGTGTCAGTACCTGTAATAGTATGAATGCCGGAGGTTGTGGCAGCAACTGTAACAGTACTAATGCCAAAGGTAGTGCCAGTAGCTTTAGGAATACCAGTGGCAGAGCTTGTGTGAGGCTCTGTAAAATTGCTAATACCAGAGGTCCTGCCAGTAGCTTTAAGAGGGCTAGTGACAGAGCTTGTGTGAGGAACTGCAAAAGTGTTAATGGCAGAGCTGGTGACTGTAGCTTTAACAGTGGTAGTGGCAGAGCTTGTGCGAAGGACTGTGACAGTGCTAGTCTCAGAGGTAGTCCTAGTACTAGTAACAGTACCAATTCTGAAGCCAGTTCTAGACTGGACATCAACTGGAGGTGCATTTTTGGTGCTTTTTGGCTTTTTTCCCTGATGACATGGTGAAACAGCAGAATGTATCTGTAAGAAGAAAGAAAATTTTAACTATAATGCTTACAGAGGATACTTATTATCAGAAGCTTCATTCTTAAGAACTGGATGAAACAAGAAATTAGGGGAGGGGAAGGGCGGGGTTGAGCAATTAAATGTCAGGGAAATAACCAATAATTTTTTTACTTACGTTAAGTTATATAGTTGAAAGAGGATTTTAGATAGTTTTGAAATATACCCAAGAATGATGGATTGTCGCTAAGTGCAGTTATAATTGTTGTATGTAACCTTAAAGTAACTTATTATGGTTTTGTTGCAGCAAACTGGTATTCAGGCCAAAAAATGCAGTCGCTGTAATGATCATTTTGTTGATTGCAGCAACTGCTTACTTTCACTAAATTATTCTGTTTTCTGTGCAAGTGTAATGTGTCACTACTTGATTTACATCAGGCGTAGTGACACATTAAACAAAGACATTGCAAAGACATTGCTTAGCTTAGTTGACCTTTATCAATTGCAATGTACATCCCTTTGTGATAACTGTAATAAGTTTCTGAAACCCCTGTAATAGTACTTTGGAGGGGTAGATTACTATATATGTGGTCTAAGAGTGTTCTGTTGTCAGTTGTATATTCATTTATATGCTGCTGATATCCTGATAGTTGAAACATCATTTTCAAAATGGTATGAGTTTGTGAAACATCAAACAAATTAGTGTTAAAGTCGCCCATTATTACTGAGTACCTTTCATGAGCCAATAAATCAATAAGTTCTGACAAGGCCATATACAAATTTTGTAAAGTTATTTTTGGATATCTGTAAATACCAGCAATAATCAGATTTCTATAATCATGTAGTTTAAAAATTGTTATTTCAACTCCATGAAGGTTATTCTTTTTAGGATAACCAAGGGCAAATATATTTATTATTTTAAAAATAGCCACAGTGTTACATTCAACTGTAAGCAAACATGATTCATAATTCATGCAGGAAAATATAGATTCCAGGGCCTCCATTAAAGAAACATATGGATGTAAACCTTCATCGACTAGTCGATAGTCGACCGATAGTCGACCGATAGTCGACCGATGGTCAACCGATGGTCGACCGATGGTCAACCGATATATCGACCGACTGTCGGCCGATGCATCGGCCGATATGTAGCGATCAACTGTCGGTCAAGTAGCAGTCAAGTGTCGGTCAGGTGTCGGTCAGGTGTCGGCCAAGTATCGGCCAAGTATGATTCACTTACCGAGCATATCGCTCAGAAGAAAATAGGCTAAGAAAGAGTACGAGGTTTTTTCGATATATGTTCCGATTTGGTAATGGAAAAATACATTGTAAAGTTGGTCGCTCTTGTGTAATTAATGTTGTACCTTAACGTATTTCCATTATTCCTAAAACTACCCGGCTTATGCTTTATCCCTGATGTCATGCTGCCCTTAATCCAACATACCTAAAGTAATTATTATTCCTTAGCTCTTATAGCTCTAACAGGTCCTCAACGTTATATTGCTTGTACAACGTTACCGATATTAACTGTCCAGTTTATGCCGGTGATGGGATGCACTTAAATTGTATCAGCTAAAATTGCAGTGTGTAACTGCCCAGCTAAACGAAAAGTAAATGATCTTTTGAAACTGAACTAGGCGGTTAAACTCAAGCAAAGCGATTTAATAAAGACTTCTTTTTGCAGTGCGAGGTCAGACGTTGTTGGTTTTTATTACTATTGTTATTTTACCTAGAATAGAGCGTCTTTTTGGGTGTTTGGGCCGTAACAACGGTATCAATTTTTTTTATCCTTAAATAGGGAACTCCGCGGCACCCACCTATCGGAAATACAGTACTAATCCACTTATAAGAACCTAGAATTCACGAACCTGTTAGCCTAAAAATATCAATTTAGACCCCCTATACATAAGAACCTATTTAGCCTAAATTTTGAAACAGGTTCCTGTTTTAGAAATTAACCTTAAAGATCTTCAGGCAAAGATAAAAGACGTGACTCTCAAAAGTAGTGAACTTAAACATGTATGAACTATAAAAATCTCTAAATTTGGTATAAATAATTTATGAAAAACGGTAGTAGGTACATGTTGGTTTTGAATTAGAATTCACATGAGTACACCCTATGAGTACATTTAGAACTGAGAACTCAGATTCTTATAAGCGGGTAAGTAGCGTACTTTGACTTACTAAAACGAAATCAAGTCTGCAATGAATATCTGGTTGGCTTTGCCTCCAGATAAACCTCTTGCCATTTGGATTAAAAATTCTCCAAACATCGCATAGCTCCAAATTTTCCATCGCGTTTTGAACTACCTTTAAAGCGTTCTGATGTGTTCTGCGATGCCATTTTTTCAGAAAAAATTGAGAGAGTAAAAAACATCCTAAGCAGCTGGTCTGCAAGGAGACTTACTCTTCTTCGTAAAATCACGATCATAAAAGCTTTGGCAGTATCCCAAATTGTACATGTTTTAACCTCTCTTCCAACGCATCAGGTTGCACTTAAGGAAATCAATACCCTGCTATATGACTTTGTCTGGGAAAGCAAAGGGGACAAAATTAAAAGGAACCAAATGATCAATGATTACGATAAAGGAGGCCTCAAGATGATAGATATTCAAAGCTTTAATAAATTGCTAAACAAAAAGTGGGAAAATGGAAATTTCTCGTAGACTTCCATCATCGCTCGTCGATCACGTCCGCTTTTTCCCCGTTCGTTCCAGTGGGATTTCACAGCAAAAGAGACTGCTCGCAGTCTATTTGAAAGCAAGAACCTGTTAAAGAAACTGAGTAGCCAAATTTTCCAGTTAAGCACCATCTTTTATAATAACCTTCTTAGCCTTGCTTGGAAAAAATTAGGTTCCTATAAGCGGGTTTTTACCGTATATGCTTCTGAGTCTAAAATTGAAAAAAATACTAAATTGCACCAATGTTGCACTAAGGTCACAGGAACTGTCCCGTTTCGGGGGAGGGGGGTACTCCCGTAAATTTTGAATGAGTGTGTGCCTCGAAGAGTCTTAAACCCTGTCCCACTTTAAGGATGAAACAAACGAGAATTGTCCAAACACGAAATATGACACCCTATTCAAGGAAAAACAATAACTAAACAACGGCTAACCACGCGCGTCAAATCGCTTTGCTGACAATTTTAGCTGAATTTGCTTTTTGTTTAGCTGGCCATTTACACACAGCACTTTTTTAGCCGATACAGTTTACATATCCTATCTAAAGATCACAACGAAAACACAATGCTAACAGAGGCAAAACGATAACCGCCAAAACCATACCCTGTCCTGCGGCACATACATGTATATGGGAGTACCCCCACCTCTGGGTATTTAAAGTGGATATTGTTCTGCTATGTCCTCCATCAACCGTCCAAAACAGCCATTCTGGTGAAGCTCACCATGCCAACTTCTCCACATGAATTTCTTAAGGTATTCTTGTAGGAAGTTAAGATTTGTGATCCCTTTCATCTTCTTAAATTTGTCCTTTGCTGCAGACCAATTGCTCTCTGCGTGTTGTATGTGGACACCGGTGATTGGGTCTACAAAGTTAACCGAGTGATTAACCGTTTGGTGATTGAAACTCAAGACCCTTTGCATTTGCCTGTATGCCGCCCATTCATCAGTATAAACCAAAGAGCCTGGTTGTACGTGTCTTTGGATAATGGTCAAAAGAGTACGCGCATCTCGCCTTCTCACAAGCTGTAAATACGGTCGAGCGGGGTCATACTGTGTGTCAAAAAGCCCAAGAACCCATCTATCTCCTCGAGTTCGACACCCCTTTGGAAATGTGCTTAAGAAGAGACAAATTTCATTAAAACGTGTTGAATATATAGGAAAAAATTAAGAAAGACTGTTTCCTAGCAGGTGCAGGACATAAGTGGGTATTATAGACTGAAATACGGTTGATGAAATGTTTCCTATGTATTTTAGTTGATATGTTTTCTGTTGTAAAAAAGACCTAAATGAAATATAATGTATACGAGGCATCGAGGTGAATCTCTTTATGGGCCCATTTCTTGATTACACATTTATTGTTAACATTTTCAAGGTTAAATGCGCACAGTTTTTGGCATTTTGGCTCTAATCTGGCTACAGATTTTGCCGAAGATTTTGGGAATAATTCGAATGGCGCTATTTTTCTGTTGAAGTCACTACGGTGAGATCGACTTGCTGGGATGGAAGAGAAGAGAATAAAACGTGCTATAGCCATTTGCGAGAAGAAGATAAGGTGCAAATAAGCTTACATGTGTTCAATTGATCCTCAAAGGATAGTGACTAAAACACCACAAGAGCACTACGAGTAACATACAAGTACATACGAGTAATTACGAGTCATACGGGCGCACACAGATACATATGAGTAACATAAAAGTAACATACGAATACATGGAGTAACACACAGATAACATACGGTCAAATGTGGGTAATGCGCATGAAATCTGCAAAGTAAAATACAAGAAATTGGACCTTTAACGGAAATCGTCGATTTGTTTTTCACTGCTCAGTATGGAG